CCCAGTACCCACTACTAGTACTAGTTTTCTATTGCGGATATAACTAATTATCATACATTATATGGTTCAAAATGGTACAAAAGTATTATCTTACTGCTTTGTAATTCAGAGATCTGGCAGGAATCTTACTGGGCTAAAATCAAAAGTGTCAGCAGAGCTGTGGTTTTTTTTATGGAAGTTCTAGAGGAGTTTCAAGATGCCTTTTCTGTCTGGTAGAGGCTCCTCATGTTTCCTGGATCGTATCCCTCTTTTTCCGTATTCACAGCCAATACCACAGCATCTCTTACCTTGCTTCCATGGTCACGTCTCTTTCTCTTCCTTCCTTTTGCCCCTTTTATCCACTTTTAAGCTCCTCATTATTACAGGGAGCCTAACTAGAAAGCCATGATAATCTCCCTAATTTAAAAGCATCTGATTAGCAACCTTAATTCAATCTGCAACTGTTATCTCCTTTTACCATGTAATATATTCAAAGGTTCTACAGATGAGGACATAGATATCTTCAAGGCACTGTTATTCTGCATACCCTACCACTCGTATTTTGGTTATCCAAACTCTTTTTTGAGCGGATAGGATATAAAATTGAGGCTAAAGGGTAAGAAGAAGACATCAGGAACAGATATAATTACTATGAAGAGCCCTAAATATATCTCAATTTGCACAACCACATAAAGCCCAGCTACACTCATTCGTGGTTTTCAAATAGCAGTGAGAAGGTTACACATAGTAAAGAATGGCGGGCAGCTCATTAGTAAATGAGGAAATATGCCCTAATTACCTATTGAGTGTCATTAAAGATATATCCCAAAGGTCAGTCGAGCCAAAAATATGACCCCTGCCCATCTGCAGCAGTGCTGAAATTCCCACTAGCCTAATCCCTTGGGATAAAGCAGTGAATCTTCAGCAATCAAGTTGGAATGTGGCTGTGTTACTTGCAAAAGGTAACACAATCGCCCACAGTACCCATTAGCAGAGTCTAAACTCGGTAGAAATGGACTTTGTAGTATTGTATGCCTTAGGCAGTTGGGTGAGGCCCTGTGACAGTCTTTTCCGAGCCCCTGAATTTGATCCATATTTATAACACTACTACCACTGAAAGTACAGGAGAAACCATAAGATCTCTTCCGGATTTTCATCCCAAATCCCAAATTCTTCATCCCAAATTCTTCCCTCCATAACAAATGCCCTGAGTGAGGTGCTTGTGACCCCAAATGGCTTGTCACCCTCTTGGCAGTGCAAATATCCCTAAAAGAATACCACAGTCATCTGCAGTTCCAGAACACGGGTTCCCAACTGGAGTGCAATGGAAGAGTATTCAACTCATTTGCGGAATTTCTGCAAATTGCGTGTGTCATCCTACCATCCACCCACCTAACACTCACAGAGATCATTTTCCTTTTTGTAGAGAGAAACAGGACTAAGAAAAGCAATGAGATCTCCAAACAAGGGGAAGAGCTGGAAAGAAAAGGGTGCAACCTTTCCTGCAGGAATATCAGAGAGGAGACTTAGAGATGAACGTTACCTACTTTACAACACTGCTTAAAGCCAGAGCTGGTAAACAAGGGCCAAGGCAGTTTCTTTCTTCTTTTCTCTTTAAACCTTGTCCTATAGTTCTCATGCGAAGTACATGTAAGTGCTTAAAAAGAGTAGCACCATCTTCTCACCTGCCCAATAACCAAGGGCACTTCTGATTTCTTAGGTAGATGCTATACTGAAATTTTTAACTTTTTTTTTTTCCTCTGAAGAGCTCTTTGTATTCGAGGAAAGGCGTGTATGTTACTAAGGTTCATTTAGTTAAATATGCAGACCTAATAGAATCTTCTTGGTTCCCTAGGAGTAATATTGTATATTCCAAGTGACTGACCCTCTGAGCACCTGACTGAGAACTCCTGAAGGTACCTGGCAGAGCAGCCAGTGCCGGGACCATTCTCTCATCTATCGACAGGAGTCAGGGGCTGGGGATTTAGCTCAGCAGCACAGCACCTGCCTGGCAAGCGCAAGGTCATGAGTTCTACTCCGGTACTGGAAAAAAAAATAATAAGTGTGACAGGAGTCATCACTGTGTGCAACTCAGTGTACAGTCCATTGGCCCGCTCTTGCTTGATGGAAGGAAATCGCATTTCCTTACACTGGAAAGCCAAACTGTCAACAAAAATGTGATGAGAAACACATATGCAATTTAAAGTTTTCTCACTTTAAAAAGTAAAATGAATAGTCTTGTTTCTCTTCAGATTGTATAAATCTTTTGCCTTTTTAAAAAGTAAAATGAAACCAGTGAAATTAATTTTGTTTTTACATAATATTGTATATCCAAAATATTTGTCATTTCTACATGCAATCCAAAGTTTGGTAGTGAGCTGGTTTACAGACTTCTGATCATGTTGTGAAGTTCATACAGCACATCTCAGTGCACACTAGTGGTATTTCAAGTGCAGGTAAGTAAATGTGGCATGTGGCATGTGGATCCCTGTCAGACCACACAGCAAGGGACACTGGTTCACTCCACCAAATGCTATTAACAAGTATTCTTTGCAGCTGTTGAACTTGTTAAGGATTATGCTAATACCAGTTGAAGTACATTCATCTAAGTATATGTATAAAAATAGATTTGTGTAAATAGCATGTATACATATATTTTATAGCATGCATATAAGGTGTGCTTAAAAGAGGGGAATTAACAGCAATGTGTCTTGTACTAGAACACATTTTTGGTATTCAAACATTCACCATATATGTTTTGTTGTTTTTTTGAGACAGGGTCTCGCTATGTAGTTCAGGCTGGCCTTGAGTTTACTCTGTAGCCCAGGCTGGCCTTGAACTCACAATGATCCCCCTGCCTCAGCCTCCCGAGTGCTGGGGTTACAGGCATGTGCCACCACATCCGGCTTTTTTTTGTTTTTTGGGACAAGGTCTTGCCATAAAGTTCAGGTTGGCCTTGAACTATGTATCCCAGGCTGACCTCAAGCTCATGGCAATCTTCCTATGTCAGCCTCCCAAGTGCAGGGATTACAAGCATGTGCCGCTATGCCCAGCCACACCATATATTTTGAACACACTTCATATGCATGTTACAAAAATACTGTCAATCTCTTTTTTATGTATCTTTAAATATACTCATCTCATTGTTTTACCACCTTCTGAAGCAATCTGCCAGTCCTCTTTGTGAATGTCTTTACAAAATGTGATTTAAAAAATATGATGAATGCTATGGCTTAGTGCCATCAAACAGAAAGGCAGACTCATAAAATCGTTATGGTATTTATCCACCTTGCTCGCCAGATTCAATACTGTACAACTTCTGACTCTTTCTCAAAACCAAAATGACCATGAAAGACAAGTGTTTTCATGAATTCAGGATATCAAGGTAGCCATAACAGTGCAACTAAAGTACTTTTTAAATCCCATTCTGTCTCACAAATATATTTAAACTCTTTGTAAATCAAAAGCCATGTGAGTCACCAGTAAAAATACCATGTGTTTGGCAAATGCTGATTGATTTATAATACTAGGAAAAATGGAACCTTAAGAGAAGGGTACGATGGCTTTAATGAGTTCACTCAAATATATTATATATATTTTCTTACGATAGAACTTATTTTTTAAAGAGTTCCAAAAAAAGAGATTTTTGCAGAGAATATCATACCTTGTACTACCATCCAAAGAGAAATCTGTATTTATGAAAGCACTTACCATCACTTCAACTTCAGGAAATAATAGAGACATAGGAAACTGAGAGCAATTTCACTTGAAAAGTAATAAGAATGACAAAGTGGAGTTCATCTGTATAGCTGTGAATATTTGTACAAAGAAATATGAATTCCAACGAGAAGGT